TCTGAATGAACCATAGTGCGAGCATTTCTTCCACTAAACAGGCTCATATGCATGTACATTTCGAACAACTGGCCATCGTTCACCAACTAACGGTGTTCCAGCTTATGATTGATCTCCAGTTGGTTGAAGACGGCACTCGGAGAAGGATCACTAGTGCTCTGCGATCCTCAGGAGCTTAGTAGCCTTACATCGTAGATACCGAGGGTCGGCTGAGCCTTCTTGAGGAGTCCATAAAGGAGGATGCATTCTCTTGGCTTTTTGAGCTAGCAGCGTTTTTCTCGAGACCCATCCCTTATGCTATGATTCCCTTGCACATTGCCTGTGGCCGCAGTGAGTGTGTCGAAGTCGTGCGGCAGGGAACAGTTGCGGCTGCACAAATGCAGCGCCACCGAATCCAAGAAAGGACTCTAACCCATTTTCACAATCGCTTGCAGTCGTCAAGCCCCTTGTTGAGGCTGGGGAGATGGGGCTTTGGGGAGGAGCTTCACAGATTCCATGACGTATTCGTACTCATAATAGCACCATATGAATGAATATCAGCGGAGTGCTTTCACTGGATTTGCCTACTGTGTACCCCCTTGTAGGATGGGCCATGAAACTTCCTCAACTTGCACGAATATCGACCTCGTGAGTTCAATCTTGAGCTGCTCATCATGCAGATTTCTTACCTGCATGACCAATACTGGCGCCTCACACAGTCACGAGATGTGTACTCTCGCACTCAACAGAGACACGCACTCTCTTGTCTTGTTCTTCTCGAGTCCTTGGGACTTGGGAACACCCCTGCTTTCACAGTCCGCATACCGACAGATAAAGACTCACGGACTTTTGCCAAAACACTTCGTGACGCCTACCAACAGACCCTCACTCGATTCGGAAGGTTCTTTCAAACGTATGTTAAATTACAAGAGCTGACAGTCTACCGAGTGGCACTACACGACATCAGTGTGCCCAACCTCGACAGCTTGCCAACCACCAAAGCTCTCGTCAAGAATGCCGTCCGCGATGAGGCGCTCACGGCGGCCTTGGGAAACCCAGAACACATGTGTTGGTCATGCTACAACTGCCTCTTTGGTCTCTACGAAAACTTATTTGTCAGAATCGAAAAGCGTGACGGTCGGATACGTGTACCGAGGCACGCTTTGATGATCCGATGGGAGACAAGGCCAATCACAAACGCGCTTCTCATCAGTCTTGCATCCATAGGTGCCATCTTTCTGGCCGAGTCTGCCCATATTGTCCTCGATTTGTAACAAAAGCCGGTGTAACTGCGCTTAAATCGAGGCAAATATCATGTCCTCAAGAAGAAATAGCAGCTAAGCAGCGTCACAACAAATGACGGGGAGGGCATCATGTACGATAGCCTACGCGAGGACGGGGGTTAGACTGTATTTTCGAGGAGCGGGCAAGATTATCTACGCTGATGCACGATTTACGAAGCAGAAGCGGGTGTTGACTCAAGCGGGTAACATAGAAGGAAGATGAGGATCACTCCTTTACTGTTTCATAGACTATAGCATGTAAAGTCTTGAAGGATACGATAGAGAACCCGATGAACGCATTTCGGCGCATTTTCTTTTTTTTGTAGATGACAGCATTTTGATCCCAAATGATAACATCTCTCCAGTCATCGACTTTACTGGCGAACGCTTTGTGAATGTGAAGGTCCCAACAAACCGTGCTTAGGTACAATTCCTAAATCACACGCCCGCCCACGACAGCGCTACTGAATTTAGAAGATACAATGAATTGCATACAATTTATTTAAACGTACTCATAAGTGAAAAAGGGGTGACATTCAATCGCTGCTTTTATACATAGACACTGTCTGCTACTTTATCTATTTATAGAGCCAACGTCGGCAGCACCGAGAACGATTCAGGCCAAACCCATATTTTAAGCTATCACAGCATGAAGGGATCATGCATCATTGATTGCGTCTAGTATACCTTCGCCAACATCCCGAAGTGCAGAAAGCTGCTCTAGATTATATAGCTTGGCTATCGCAAGGAAAGACGCATGCGACACCGAGTGGGTGTGCTTCACGCATCGCCGCGGCCAACTCCGGTGGCATGCCAGGGTTTTTTCCCAGCAACTTGTAGGCATACTATACTTTTAGACTGGCCGATGAGGGCAAGGTGGCACTCGCTATGAAGGTGAGCAAGGATAACTCCAGGTGCGCTTTGGTAGGCTCGTAGGCCTCATCGGCAAGTCCATGTAACGTTTAGTCTCAAAACAGCCCCTGAGATTTTTGGAAAGCTTTGGCAACAATCGTTCTTGAATCGCTCCCTCAACCTCCAGATATGTGCCAGTATCTAGAAATGTCAAAGGGTGCCTGATACACGCCGCAACTGCAATGGTTAAGCTAACGAGCACTCGTCACAGTTCGTCAACAATGTGTTAACGAAGTATGAATAATCTGAAGAGGGAGACGAGCAGAAACAATCGTTACCGAAATAGTGTCAAATACCTGTTATCATCGTAACGGCGTCACGAACTTCTCGTAAGGCTCTCAAGTACTCTGGGAACATGCTTCGGCTGATACGGCGAATTGGCTGGTTGACGAGGGGATCTCATGGCTGCTGGACGATACTTTTTATGCCAGAGGTGCTGGCAGTGACTGGAAATGTGCAGTCAGTCTCTCTAGCCTCGTTTATGTCAAGATATAAAGAGATAGCGAAACGTTCATGAAGCTTTCAAGCAGGCACCAATGCAGCTCTGGCTCGTCTAAGTCGTTTCTCCGAGGAAGCCAAAGAAGATGTTTCAAGCTCAGCGAGCATTCGAGAACGAATCTGGGTCAAACCTCAAACGGACGGCTTTCCTCTCTGTTCGTCATCTCTAGTATTATTCGTATATACGCTTCATTATTCACGGCCGTCTCTCATGACTTTATCATAGGCAGCTCATCAACTCCCACACGCCCCTGCAGACTCTCTCCCACCACATCTCCTTCATCCCTAACCCCCTCTCATCAAACAACCAAGTCCTCAACCTCTGTAAGTCCCACCAGTCCCTCTCATCCACAACTCGCCCCAAGTCCCCATCATCAAACGCTATGCCTCTCCATAGCAGCACGCCCAAGACCTGTGCCCATTTCGCCCTCTTTGAAATGTCCTCGTCGCCAACCGCTCTCCCAACTACCTCCCAAAAGAGGTCTCTCAGTTCTCTGGCTTCGGGGTAATATTCAAATCTACTCCTGCCAGTCTCCTCATCAATAATAACATCTTCCCCGAGAATCTCTTCAAGCCCGTACATCCCCACCCCAAAAGGCAGCCACTCCGCCTCTGCCCAGTCAATAAGCCCAACCACACCTCCATCGTCCTTCACCATGATGTTGTCAGACACGAGATCGCCATGGGTGACAACCCACCCAAGCCCCTCAACCTCATCCATCTCCCTCATAACCCTCCTCACAACACCCCTCAACTCTCTCGGCAGCCCCTTTGCCATAACATCCAACCTCCACCGCAAGCTCCCACCAATCTTCCCCTTCGCCACCGCCGCCGCATCCCTCCTCCCCCTCCACGAATCCGCAAACATCCCCGCGAGATCCTTCACAACCCTTCTCCGCATTTCCCGCTTCAAACCATTATCCCGCCTCCTCAACTCCGTAAGAGAAACACCACCGACCCGTTCAACAACATACCCAACCAACTCCCCCTCAACGACACCCAGCTCCTCCACAACCGGCACCCCAACCCCTCCCCCCAGAATCTTCCTCGCCTCCCCGCACATCCCGACGTCGATACCATGCTTCCTCGGCCTGAACTGCACCAACCTCTCATCGCCAACCTCGCACCCCGAATCCCGCCTCTCCTCTCCCCCTAAAGGAACAAGCAGGAGCGTATAAGAACAATACCCCTGAAACGGCGCGACCACAACCTCGCACGCGGGAAACAGCCCCCTCGCTAACTCGTGCATCCGCGGCACCGCCTCCTCCGCGCTCAACCCGCACCGCGCAAGGAACGCAGCGACCTTGCGCGTCTCGTCGGCACCGACGTCAATAGCAGTCGTCATATTACGGCAGTCGCAGGTGCGCGCGCTGCATTTCGGGGTGGTGGTTCTCACTCATCAAAAGAACCAGGTGATGATGGATGAGGTGAGGTTTTTTAAGGTTTTTGGATTCCTTTCCCTCAGCCGCGTCCCGAAAGGAGGGTGTGGTCTAACTAGGTTCACATGACACCATCAGCAATCAGCTCCAACGCCGACCGACGTCTGCAGGTTGGAAGGGTGAGTGAGGGGGGGCGCGGCCGGACCGGGGCGGCTCACTTCACCCGACCACACCACTTCAACGACACCCGCACGTGGGGTTGATGACATGTCATCCGCCGTCGCCTGGTCTGGATTCATCATGCAGCGTCTTGGATTAGCACTCAGATAGCTCCCTCAGTCACTGGCGAGATCACGCGTGGAACAAGCTGCATTGTGAAATGGTAAGTTTGAATTACTACCAATGTCTTCTCTTGACTTGGGGCTTTAGAAAAATGTTCTAGAAGACAAATGATGTTGGTTTGGAAAAAGAAGAATCCCCACCGAAGAAGAGAAGAAGAAAATAAAAAAAGAACAATTCCGTGTTTATGCCCGTTTCCTTTACTCCATGCGAAGGGTATATAATTGATGCGCAACCCTACGGATGCGCATGCATGCTTGTTTGACGGAGCCTGCTTCTATCCATCGTACACTTTTGACGGCTTTTCAGGAAGGTGGGCGGCTCGGATTAGCGTCGTCGGTGGCGGCAGCCTCAACTCGGCTTGCGCCGGCGTGACTTGTCCATGCATCCTGTCCTCGGGAGACGCAGCTCTTGCTCTCGTCAAGCCCTGTAGGACGTCGAAGTTGCCGATTGGAATTCGGTGTCGATAATTCCACCCAAACGCCTCGTGCCCACGTCCTCGCCGACTTGACCCGGCACTGCCTGGCGTCCGACTCTATGCTTTTCGGCCGTTACTGATATTCGTTACACGCGCATTACAGCGCACTCATCGCCCGACAAGGCGAGTCGTCTATTTGCGGGCCTTGCGGTCCAGCTCGACCTTGCTGTACCACGCAGCACCGAGCATCGTCATGAGCATGCCGGTGCCGTTGAAGAGGTGGATCTCGACGCTGTCGAAAGCGACAATGCCGAGGAGGACAGTGAGGCACTGCTTGAGGTTACCGCAGACACTGATGGTCAGGGCACCAGCGACCTTGTTCGTCTGGAAAGAGGCGACGTTGAGGGCGAACGCGAGAGCGCCGTTGCCAGCGATGGCGATGAACGTAGCAAAGCCGAGCTCGCCTCCAACGACCATATCGCGAAGCTTGGTCAGCTCGCCGGCGGCCACGGCACAGGCCAGGGACTGCATAGCCGCGAAAGGCGACATGCGCAGCAGCACCTCCATGGCGGGCAGGGCCAGGGGGCCGGTCATAATGCGGTTAGTCGCAACGGTCTGTGGAAGTGTTCGTCAGCGCCTCATTTCATGCATGAAAATAAACTGTAAATGGGCTGAAGGTTTGGCCATCGGGTTTCAGAGGCGGCGGGGACGACGGGTCCAATTGGAACAGCCACTCTCCGCGCACGACTCGACAACTCAAAAAGCTCGGATGATGGGCGGGTGATTGGCGAACCAAAATTAACATACCTTAACCGCAGCAAGCATGACACCAGCAAAGGTGAGCAGGAATCCAAGATCGGTGAAGGTGTACTCGCCGACCGTCGTCAGGGCGGCACCGATCATGACGGGAACAAGAGTGAGATAGGTCATGTTCTCGTAGGTACGGCCAAAGATCGTGCGGTAGATACCGACAGTGAAGACCGGGACGGTGGTTCTGAGGACCTGGTAGAATGCTACCGAGACCATGGCACTGTTCAGGTGAGTTAGCATGATGCTTGCATGAAGGCTTGGCCCCGCCTCATCCGGAGGCGGAACCAGCGGGATCCCGCGAGACGCCGCGCGGCGTGCCCGGTAGGAATCTGGATGCTTACAGCGAAAGGTTGGAGACGGCGATGTTGGTGGTGAAGAGGAGAGAAAACGCCAGGAGGATGAGGTTCTCCCGACGTCCCAGGTGGGACATGGTGAAGTAGCCTCCCTTCAACAGACCGAAGCATCCCAAGCTCGCGCACGTGGCGTGGATGCAAGTGAGAAGCCATGGGAAGGGGAACTGGGCAGAAAGTCAGTGAATGCCTTTTTGTGAGAGTTGGTGAATGATGCATCTCATCTTGGCAGAGCTCCCGCCCGCGGAAGCTTTGCCAAGACTGAGAGGGAATCGAGGAAGCCACGTACGAATCCTAGGACCAGCTTGTTGTAGAGAGTCAAAATCAAGCTGAAGAAAAAGTAGGCGCACAACCAGGCGTACTTGACATTTGGCGAGATGGTGTACTCGACAGGGTTGTTGTTGTTGGTCTTGTCTTCTTGTGCCTGCTGTTCGGTAGCAGGGCTTGGGGCGGCCTCGAGATCGTAGCTCTCCTCGACGCGCTTCTCATCGCCGTTGAGGAGACCATGGCCCTCCTCACTCCGCCGGGCCTCGCTCTTGAAGTTGTCGGCCATTTCTTCGGTGTGTTTTTCAGTTGCTCGTAAAAGTCGAGAGAGTTGGATCGTTTCTCGTTCGTCGGAAGGTCGAAATGTTATTTTGTTTATAGGCCGTGTGTCCGCCGCAAAGTGCTAAACCCTGGCTGCGAAGGGGGTGGTAATGGCTGACGACTGTCCAAGTTTCACGACGCAGATCGGTCCCGGGCGTGGGGAGTTTGGCGTTCAAAACGGGCGTGCGTGAGTTGTCGAGCTTAAAAAATCGGACCAACAAGCGACGAGTGGAAGAAATGACTGTGAGTTGTATCTGTCGAAAATGCCGGAAAGGGAGGAAAAAAAAAAAAAAAAAAAAAAAGAGGAGGTCCAAACGAGAGGCAGAGCGTCGGGAGGGTGAGTGAGCTCGAGGGGGTGAAGGAGGAAAAATAAGAGCCGATCGGGAGCTGCAGGTGCAGAGTGCAGGCAGGTAGGTAGATAGGTAGGTAGGCAGGTTGCTGACGGGAGACAGGAGGCGAGGGTGACAGCAAAGGGTGTTTGTTCAGTGGAACAGGGACAAATGAACCCAAGACTTCGGATCGCGGCGTTGCAAGGCAGTACCTAAATCCGATGCACCAATGTTAATGTCGAAACCCAGGAGAAGGAAGAGCCTGGGAGCAGGGGGGGTGGGCAAAAATAAGGATTAGGAGGGAAGGACAGGAACGACAAAAAACGTGTGGAGAGAGAAGGACCGGAGTGGCAGAGCAGCAGAGAAAGCAACGGTAGAAAAAGTGAGTGGGAATTGAAGTGGGAAAAAGAAGAGGGGCCCCGACGAGGGTGCTGGTCACGACGTGGGTTGGTTTGCTTGGTGGTGGTTCCCTGGTGGAGGCACCGTGGGCGAGAGAGGGGAGGGGGGGGAAGGACAAGAAGAGGAACGAGAGGAAGCCGAGATACTCAAACGGGCATCTTTCTCGCTTCCGTGCTTGGCATCAATGACGTTTCGGCTGGCGGCATTTGCCTCTGGCTCCTTGCTGCCGCTCTGCTCTGCTCTGGTCTGTCTTTCAGTCGCTCCCTGTACTTGGCTGTCCGTAAGTACGAAAGGTACGGTGCTTTTCTGGTGGTGACTGTCACCAGATCACTGCATGGCAATTTCTACGGCTCATCTCGACGGCAGAAAGAGCAAATTACAAGCACACGTAGGCTCAAACCCGGCCCCGCGACGATAGGCCAGCTAAGGTAGGGGTAAGGTGGTGAATCAAACCTCATAAACTGCTGCTCTCGTGCCTTACTTCCGTTGACTTACGTGGAGAGGGAGGATGAGCACACGCGGACGACGTACGCAGCAATAGCCCAGCCACAGACTCAGAGTCAGGTCAACTCAACCCGATGGGTTAGAGATGGTCACAGATGAGCAGCATCACGGCTCGCCGGCCATCAAGCTCCAGGGGACGCGGCGTTTGGGGGTTATTACGCCGCAAACTCTGGCCGTCTGCTCCAGTCTCGATGCTTCAACATCATCCGAATAGCCGTAGTCTTGAAGCTACCGGCCATGCTATGAGGCCTTTTGGGGGGTGATGCGGATGCCGAGAGCGCGTGTATGTGTGTGTGATGTACATTGAGCTACCTGCTACCCATCTTACCCGCCGTTACTGGCTTGAAGCAGAAGCTGCCGCCCGCCGTTTGAGCCGTTGGATCTGATTGCAGCGCGCACTCTACCTCGAAAAGGCCCGTACGATATCCGTAAATGCCTTAATTACTCTGCGTCCGTCGTGCTGCTTGCTTGCTGTTTGAAGTTTCCCGTCCCAACTCGCCAGCCGCCCCGCGTCCAGAAGGGCCGTCCTCCGATAAATAAAGGCGGCGGGCCTTCACTCTACCGTGGGCACCACTGCTGCCACTGTCATCATCTATCCTCATCTCTGGTCTTGCACTGACGACAGCGCGTGCGGTGGAGGATGCCCCTCTGGCAGGTCTGGGACAGAGTGCTGGAGGAGCAGATGTGGCACTGGCATGGACTGGCACTGACGGCAATGCGCGGTAAGTAGCGAGCGGTGGGCGGGCTCTCTTGTCGATTCCATGGGCTTGGCTCCGCCAGAAAGGTACTTGGCCCTGGTCTCCGTCCGAACTGAGCTTGTCTTGGGAGGGCCCCTTGGCAGCCGCGTAAGCCTGGGCCCTGATTCATCCTGGTGCGACCGGATGGCAGGGGCTTACTGGTAGCGAAACGGGGCCAGTTAATAAGGAGATGGGGTCAGATACAGTGTTTTTTTAGGTGCCATCGCGGGATGGGAAAGTGGGAGGGCCGGGGTTGGGGCACACAATCACCGCTCCCAGACCGGGGTTGAAGGGTGGTGATGGGCGAAGAAAAGGAACATGATGATGCCGTCTAGAACTCTGGATGGACCGGAGTGATTGGGATGATTCTGAGATGAGGCCCTGCCTACCTGGGGGTACGTATACACAGAACGGAGTCCAAGCAGTGTTTAGATAATCGTCGATACGTACCGTTTTAATCGGTCTAGATTCTCAACTCTGAGACGGCGGACGGCGAACGGCACGCGCCCACCAACGTTTATTTTTTGTGGGCCTGCCAGGTGCGTTTCCAGAAATTCCAGGTCCTTCCGGTCTGGGATTCGACAACTGGGGCAGCAATCATTCTGGCGAAAAAGCTGCTTACATGATGCCAACTTTGGATCGAGGACGTCACAGTCTACAGCACAGCCAGTCACAAATAGGAGCTTCACTGGCTCATCAAGGCAGAGGCGGCGGAAACAGTGGGGGCAGAGCGAACCACCCGCCAAGGGGCGCGTGGGTAAAAGAGTCATTATCACTGGCCGATCTCATTTAAATGCGGCTCTGGGCATGGACAAGCATTCAAGCAGCAATTGCCAGGACAGCTTGATAGATTGATAGCGGAAAGCAACGAATATTGAGCTGAAGCTGCTGTCGAGCTGTTTCCTGTCGCCTGTGAACGAGTATTCGTGTAATTCGTGTACGGTGCCGAAACCGGCAAAAGGGACGCTAGTTCCTGGGACGGTTGCTTACTTGCGACGGAAAGTAAGGCACGTTAGCTCGAGTCTAGAGCCCTCTCAGGTATGTGCCAACGGTACCTTGATAAGCTTTGCAGACAGGTCAGGTAGGGCAACGCGCGCCTCGCTCTCGTGAGCGCCTGAAGCCTCGGGGGATGGGATGGCAATGCACAGGAAAACAATCCACACAGACACAGATAGACGGGCAGCCGACAAAGCCGAAGGTCTGGCGATGCCCAGAAATTCCATCCTTTTTTGGGTTTGGCTCCCTCCCTTGGCCTTGGGCGCCTTGGGGGGTGGTCGGTGGTTGGGGGTGGGTGTCAGCTCGGTTCTTGGGAAGGAGGAGCGGAACTCTGGGACTTTGGGTGGAAGCAAGGAGGAGACGGGCGATAGAATAGGGGAAGCCAAGGCCAGGCAGGCGGAAGCCCTTGGGCAGGTCCCCGTCGTTAACTGGAGTGCTGTATCAGTGGGATGCGACTGGCTCGGGACATGCAGGGCGGAAATGACGACAAGCCGACGCTGGATTGGCGGGTGAATGTCACTGGCTCGTTCGCCGTGGGCTTCTTGGGCTTCTGCAGGGTGCTGCGCCGTAGGAGTGGGAAGGGATGGGACGGGACGGTGGAGACACGGCTGGCGGAATCTCGCTGACCACCGCCGACGGGCACCTTCTGTGGTTGTCTGTCTATCTGGAGCCCGTTGCCATTCCAGGTAGATTTGCACAACGAAACCGCGGTGGAGATACTTGTGTCGCTCATAATTACATCTTGCGGATACACGGCGGCAAGGTAAGAAAGAGACACTTTTTTGCTGATACAGATGCAGATACAGATCCAGTAGTTGAGACAACAACACTGGCCACAACAGCACATGTGCGATACCACGATGCCCCACGAAGTAAGGTATCTTAGCCCTGCTATGCAGTAGCCTGTAGGCCTGGCATGGCCTCGCCTCGCACGACACCGCATCTCAGTCTCAGACATCAAGCCACCAACGCGTCCCTTGGGTTACCTTAATCCAACGGCTTGAGTCGAGTCGAGTCGCGGCGCGGGGTCTGTCATTCATTGCCATGGCTGCCAAAGCTACGAGGTGGCACACTTGCTGCAGCGAAAGACAGTGTCAGCCGGACCACGCTGCAGACCGAAACTGACATGGCACTGCGTATCGCGATACCAAGCGTCCAAGCCGGCACAGGACGGCAACTCTGATATCTTGGGTTCACCACCTTTTGGGGCCATCCATCCCTCCGCCAGGCCAATCGAAGGACGCCGGCCCTTGTCAGCCTCTGCTTGCCAGCGGAACTCCCTCCCAAGCTGTAAGATGATCAACCGGGCACCCCCAATCCAACGACCCCGACCGGACCCAGTAGGCTATTCTTCATACGCGGGTTGTTGTGAATGTGAGCCGCTGAGACGCTTGTTTGCGTGGCCTAGAAGATGATTCTCAGTGTCGCGACGCTCTAAAAAAGGTTGATCGCTGTGCGTACGTCAGCAGTTATCTTGGGTTCTCTCTCTCTCCGCAAGGGCGGATACACTAGGTAATTAGATGCTCGACGCTAGGCAAGATGCGAATAGCTAAGGTAGGTATCCTGACCATCGACCGTTGATATTGATGAGGCCAGTGCATCGCAATGCCGAACATCTCTCGCCCGCTGTAAACTCCGTCTTGTTGCCCAGCTCCATGCATTCATTGTCGAGCCCGCCAGTCCCGACGTCCCGCAACGCCACGCTGCGCCGTCGGTGCCCCTAATTGCTCGGTCTGCACCTGCGCATCACTGCACCTCACCTGCACCTAAACTTGAGCTGCGCCTGCGCTGCCCTCCCTCCCGTCTCCCGCATCCTCCGCCCCTTTGTGTGGGCTTTTAGTGCTGTCTTCCATTCCCTTGAGTTGTCTTCTCTCGGTCGGTACCTGGCCTAAGTATCGGGCTAGCTACAGCACCTTTAGACTCCCTCCTGGGAGCGTGTGACCGTCTCTCCCTTTCTGCAACTGACTGGCCACAACCACCATCTTGGCCCGCTGCACCCGTCATCCCAAGACATTTGCTGAGAGGGGTCTTCCTTCTTCGGTGCTCACCCTCCCTTTCTGCCCGTGTACCTTTTTTGGTGGTGGTGGTGGTATTCTTCTTTTTTTATTTTCCTGCCTGCATCATCCAATCCAATCTGAGTTGAATGAAGTGGTGCATCCGGCCCACACCGAGTCCAGTCTAGCCCCAATTTCCCTCCCATCCTCTTCGCATTTCTTTCCCCGGACTCTGCAGGAATATCGACTCTCGCCAAATCATCCAGTGCGGCTCAATTACAGGCCTGCCACTCAGCTGTGTCTTTCCCGCCGACGCCTGACCGCCTTGCCCGCACCTGTCCGCTTACCCCTTGCGCTGTGGTTGAAGTCTCCGTACCTCCTTTGCTCCATTCTCTCCTGCGGAAGAAGCCCAAGACAGGCCTAGACGATATCAAAGACACGGCACGACAGAGACAGACCTGCACTGACTGGAGACCACGAGGCGACCGTGACCCAGCGGTGGTGCGAGTGCGAGGTCACTTCGCCGACCCGCGAAAAAAATAGGAGACCTGTCAGCGATCTTCGGATCCCAGGTCCTTGCCTCCTCTCACAGACAAGCTCTTGGGAATACTCCGTGTGTTTTCTTGGCATTTTGGCATTTTGGACACTACAGCGGCAGGGCGAGCTGCTCGCTGCTTCCCCGTCGGCCAAATTCTTTGCCACAACCTGGAAGCATTTCTTCCACTATTTTTTTCTACCTTTTTCTTCCCCTTCCCCCCCTTGAACGACGACGCCGACGACATCTTCGACCGAGTGCATCCACTTCTTTTTCCTGCTCTCGTTACCGTCCGCTCTTTTGGTTCGCTACGCTTTTTATAATACCCGACCGCACTTTCGTCATCGTTGCCCACGTCGCCCTCGTCGTCGCCGCTACCGCTTCGCCCCTCGTCACGACGCCTACTTCGACCTCGCGCGCGCGCCTCACCACCCCCAAGATTGCCCAACCTGGATCTCAAGCCGATCCGGCAGCTAAATGAAACCCGCTTCGGCCCAATGTTGATGCAACTAAAAGGCCGCAGACTCGTTCTGCTGGCAGGCTTCATTGTCGTCCTCTTCCTCCTCATCTTCTCCCAGTCCACCGTCCCGGAGAGCCTGAACTGGGTAAGTTGTTTCCTTGTCGTTACTTCAAAGTTCTTTGTCCTTTTGATCGACGTCGCAAGTCCGTGATCTGCTGGGGCAGCATTCTTGGAGAGAGGAATCCCCCCACGTGCCGACTTGGGGCTGAAACGTCGACCGAACTCCTTCCTACGGATCTCTGAGACACCCGCCGTGACTTGACACTGACGTTTGCTTCTCCAGCCCGACCTTTCAGCTTCGCTGCCCAGCGTCACCGGCAGCAAATCATCCGCCCCCTCGGGCAAGAAGGGCAAGGACGAGTCTCCCGGCGTCGGCCGTTTCCACTTCCTCATCGCCGCAAGCGCCCCGAACCTGCAATTCTGCCGCGCCCTCGTTTCCTCGACTGTCAACCGCTTCGGCGCCCCGACCATCGTGGGATGGAACGGCACTGGTGAGAACGATGCTGCTCTGTCGCACTTGGCCAAGATTCGCGTCGTCACCAGGTACCTCGAGGATCTCCCCGAATCCTCCAACGATGACCTCTTCATGATGATCGACGGATACGATGTCCTTCTGCAGTTCGGTCCCGATGTCATGATTGAGCGGTACTTCAAGGCGTCGGCGTTGGAGGATGAACGCATTATCCAGCAGCTGGGACCCGAGAAGGCCGCCAGCCTCGCTGGACCCCTTGGACGACACATTTTCTTCGGCGCCGACAAGGTTTGCTGGCCGGTGGACTGGCGCCGACCCGCGTGCTGGGCTGTTCCGCCCGTCCCCAACATGGACGGCAGAGAGTTCGGCCCATTGACCAACACCGGCGACATGGTTTTCAACCACCCGAGATGGCTGAACAGCGGCACCATCATGGGCCCGATCAAGGAGCTTCGCGAGTTCTTCCGCGCTACCCTGGACCTCATCAACGAAGTGTACGACCCAGAGTACGAGTTTAGAGAGAGCGACCAGTTCTACATGAGCGATGTTTGGGGTCTGCAGGAGCTTGAGCGTATTGAGATGCAAAAGGAGGAGAACCCCGATGCCGCCGTCATGCGTCCTCCTGAGGATGGCTTCGTTCCGCAATTGGAGCCTCAGTACAGCTACAACTTCCACATTGCCATGGACTACTGGAGTATCCTATTCCAGACATGGGCAGGCTACGCCGACTGGGTGGACTGGCGAAGCTTTATCGGCCCCTTGTACTCGGCTGAAATCAACCAGAACACGCGCAACAACTCCGAGTTCGTGCCCTGGCACTTGCACATGCAGGCAGATGCCATGAAGTCGCTCAAGCGCATCTTCAACACCACTTCCGACGAGACCATGGGCTCCACGGTCAACGAGCTGATTCGCAAGTCGGAATTCGGCGCCAACATCATTACGAAGCAGACTTTCCCTCTTCTCCACGTCACCGGAGAGAAGGGTGCTCTGGACGCTTTCTGGCCCCGTTTGTGGTTCTTCCCCTACTCCCGCTCCCTGACCCGCTCCGCAATCAACTGGTTCCGGGGCGGCGAAGGCTACAGCCCTGAGCCGATCAATGGCAAGGTGTGGTACCCTGCCCACCCATACCCTAAGGAGATTAGGGAGACGGACGGAGGTGCCTGGTCAGACGCTAGCAACGACAACAACACTGTCTACTGGTTGGGTTTCGAGTCGCTGTGCGCGGAGCACACTGGCATTCTGTTTGGGGAGGAATAGGTCTCTGGAACGAGACTAGGCCACCTTTTCTTCTATTTCTTCAATGAGCATATTTTGAGCACCTTGGGTTAAGGTCTGGAAAAATCACAGTGCAGGTTCCATGGGAATCGGAAGCATTAGACTAGCAGCAGAGGAAACTGCTGCAAGGGGGACAATGGGAGTCCACAGCCAGAAAAAAAAATGTCACGGCCGGCATTGCATGTTTGTCACAACATGTAGAAGATGTAATACCCACACCATGTGTTTGTACGCCTTTTTTTGTTTCCTTCATGTATAACGCAGCGTTGCCTGTCATCTTTAGCAGTAGCATGGCGGCCATGGAGCAACAGACGGGACCGCCTCAGAAGCGGTATTAGACAATGACTCAGACTTGCTTTTGTATGAAGCTGTGATGTTGATGTTCGACGCAGGGCGTGGCAGACGTGACGGAGGTGGTCACTGCAGGTGTGCATGTCTCAATACCGTACTATCTCATGTCTCTGGCCTTTGCGGGGGGCTAATCGGGTTCGAATGAGGTTGACTTTGACTTTGCCGCAGACGCAACCACATTTGCGGCCGCATCTCGATGCACCCGAACCCGCGAGATGCGCCCGAACCCGTCGACCTTGCCGATTTCTGTAGGGCTGAAGGGCGGACTATTGGAATGGCGGCAGTCTCATGAGTCGTGGAGCTGCAAAGGGAGAAGAATGTGGGCTGGATGGCTGCTCGACGGCCCCCCTGTCCTGACTTTTTTCTTGCCTAATTTGGGTGTGCCCAGGTGGTGATTCTTGGCGTGATTGGTTGGGGGCGGAGAAGCCACGTCCGGTAGTTGGCGCTGCCAAGACGAGCCAGCTGGAGTGAGGAGGAAGAGTGGCTTTATTTATTGCCAAGAGTTTGTGCAGGGCGGCATTCTTGACGATTGTTTTTGCATTTTGCGAGGGAGGAGTTGGAGATGGGATTTTGCTTTTTGGGTTTCGATATGTTTAGAAAGGGAGAGGTGGTAGCCACCTGCGGCTGTGCCTTGGGTGGATGGGGGTGGCGTATGCTGTTGGTTGTGAGATTGTTTTGGGATTGGAGGATCGGATTCAGTTGATCGGCTTGGAAGTCAGACGGGAGTCATATGTTGGCGATTCGAGGATGGTGGTGGTGGTGGTGTAGGGGGAGGGTTTGGTACAGTCAGACGGGATACGGGTGTGGCGGAGGCTGAAGCGGGGAGGTTCACGCGGGCATTTTATGGGTATTTTTGAACGTCGGTCTGGTTACTGCGTAATTGTCTTATGATTATCGTGCTCATTTGTAGGCAGCACTTTCATCTTCAAGGCGAAGTGCGCGAAGATGGCGGCGGAGGCGTTGATACGGATGGTTGTCCACGGCTCAGTTCCGACTGATTCGACGGTTGGGTAAGCGGACAGCTGCAAATGTCCGAGTAGACATTGAACCGCGCGAAAGCGCATGTTGGTCATTCAATTCACCTCATGAGTCAACCAATGTACGACATCTCTAAGACGCACGCATTGGTATGTCGTTGCCTCATTTGAGACGAAGGTTCGGTGACGGCGTTTTTTGAGTTCAGCTGATAGCTGGGAGACATGCCTCGGTTCGTCTCGTCTTCAGATGAACTGCTTTGTCATAACGAACGTCATGTACTGTAGTCATATTGAGGCTCAATTTTGGCCTCATATCCCACAAGACCCTGATTTTGATGTCGGTGAGCCATTAGAGAATTGTTGTTGTAATTAGTTGGCAGGGCTGCCTTCGGAGCCGTCAAAATTGACATATTCCAGCGCTGTCGAGTCGCACCCGGACAAATGACAGTGAAGACCCACTTTCTACCGCCTGTAAACCTTCTTTCCCGGGCTTTTTATCGTCTTCTGTTATTCTTCAATATTGACACAACGACGACACCGCGAGCAGCATGATCCTCAGAACTCAAAAAAAAAAAAAAAAAAAAAAAAGCCCGAGTAACTCGATGCTTCGGCAGGATAAACGTCAGTCTTTGTCCTCGGTCTTACATGGAGTAACACCGTACAAGCCTTCGGCGTACACCGCCATCGCCTCGCCTTGCGATCTTCAACTTTCAAGTCATTCCAGCGACCGTCCAATGGGACCGCCACTGTCAATGTCGCCTATTTACCCTTTCCAGCAAGCGGGATCGTCACCTGCCACTTACAGAATAGCCCTCATTCGCTCCTCGCTTCTCCCCGGGCGGCTCAGTCCTTTCGGCGGGATGCAGGCTTGAGGCGCTCATCTCTGTTGCATGGCTCGTCCGGCCACTGAGCGGTCGCCAATTTCCCCCATCGCTGACTGCCTACGGAAATGACGATGATGGTGGTGGAGTGGGGAGCAAACCCCCAAATTCCTACAACGATGCAGCTCATGGAGGCTGAGCAACCGGTGAATCGTCAATTGCTCAATTGTCTGTCTGTCTTCTCATGCTGAAGCACTCAATCAGGCTCTCTGGTTGGTGACTCTTCTCAGGTCACAGCCGTCTTCCCGCGCCTCCATTCCTGCCTCCAGTGTGCAACAACAACCATCTCGCGTTCTCCCCCACGCCACATCGTCGGGGGCTTGAGCTGCTCGCAAGGCAACCAATAGACACAGCAGAGTCGTACTCGCCTGCCGTGATGCCTGTACAGGCTTACTTCCTCAACATGCCTCTAGCAAGGGTTTCACACCGCTAGCATGCAAACATTTCCCTATTTTACCTCAATGTTAGCTTCAGCCTCGCTCTCGGCGAAGGGCATCGCACAACCGAGCAGCAGCGCGACGGCGCGCCTCCCCACACCGCGCACTTTCTCCCCTTGGCAAGACCTCCCCTTCCCCGATGGCACCCGCGAACTGGGTGCCTTCCCATAGGGCAGCCTTGTGAGCCACGATGCCTTCCGCTGACTCTATTGTGCCTCACCCATGCCACTGCCCTATCTGGGTGCCTGGTGTGCCAGGGGCGCCACGCCGATGCTGTTGAATGCGGAATGTAGCCCCTGCTTCTATAAAGAAGGGGCATCCGCAGGTCCATGGGGAAAGTGAAGATCGCAACATCCGCAAACGAGCAAGGCCAATCCCCAAGCTCTGCTGAAAATCTTCAACCAACATCAAAGAACTTGAGATCCCAGCTTCACATACGTAGTCAGACCCGTCCCTAACCTACTACCTAAATCCTACGCATCGCCTCCTCGCCCCGGCCGATTCACCTAGGGTCAGATCGTCGCCAGCAATGGACGTCCCAAGTGCTCCAGAGGGAATGAACTACTCTCCAAAGAGGCTCATTGTATGCTGCGATGGCACATGGATGAACTCGTAAGTACATCAACGTCCTCTAAACCCTCTAACATCCCATGCTGACGACCTCCCAGGGAGAGCGGCTACATTAAGCCGACGCTCTTCAAGCCCAAAGGCGGGCTCCAGATCCCCTCGAACGTGACCCGCATCTCGAGATGTTTTCGCCGAAAGTGCAGCGACGGTCGTGTGCAGGTCATCGAGTACGAGTCCGGCGTCGGCACGGGCTCCAACGCCCTCGACGCCCTCACCGGCGGTGCATTCGGCCTCGGCCTGTCGGAGCGCGTCCGCCAGGTCTACAGCTTCCTGTGCGCCAACTACTGCGACGGCGACGAGATCATCCTCATCGGCTTCTCGCGCGGCGCGTACACCGTCCGCTCCGTGGCTGGCATGATTGCCGACCTGGGCCTGCTGACCCGCGAGGGCGTCGAGCACTTTTACCCCATCTTCAAGGACATGGAGAACTGGATGAATGACAAGTACAAGGACGAGTTCCCGAACCTGCCGTTTGAGCACAAGCCCAAGGGCGAAGACGCGGCGGAGAAGTACAGGGCCAAGCTGGAGAAGGTGAGTTTGTCGTGTTGGTTTCGGTGAAGACGAATGCTAACTTTAGCAGCGTGGCATGACCCGTGTTCGGCAGCAGGAGGGAAAGGGAGAAATCATCAAGGTCAAGGCAGTCGGTAGGTTTCCTGCCTCAAGTCAAACATGATCACAGCTAATCAGAGACAGCCGTTTGGGACACCGTTGGCAGCCTCGGCATCCCCCAAATCGCCTGGTTGAACAAGCTCGGCATCTACGCATCCAACGAGGAGTACAGATTCTGGGACACTGCCCTGTCAGACAGGATCGAGCACGCCTTCCAAGCTCTCGCGCTCGACGAGACCCGCTACTCTTTCCAGCCCGCGGTATGGGAACGTCTGGAAGCCAACAGATTGTCTACGGATCTCCGCCAAGTTTGGTTTCCTGGCAACCACTCCAACTGCGGGGGCGGCTGGGCCGATCAGGGCATGGCCAACATCACTCTTGCCTGTGAGCATAGTCCTCGTCCTCACTGCGGATCTTTTGCTAATGTTGACAGGGATGATGGATCAGCTCGCGTCGATTGGTGTCGAGTTTAACCACCGCGCACTCGAGCGCTGCGTGAGCCAGTCAAAGTCGTTCTACATTGCGCAGCAGAAGAAGAACAAGGGCAAGCAGTGGGCCCGCGAACCCATTTACAGCTCAAACCATCCCCTCCGACCTTGGGGCCTGGGCGCTATCCAGAAGACGACCAGTCTGTTGTACAGTCTTGCCGGAAAGATTAATCGGTCGCCTGGGCGGTACCGGCAAGTCAACGCAAAGACAGAGGTACGAGACGGACCATTTCTGAAGGACACAAACGAACGTATCCACTCCTCTGCCCGCATTCGTCTGGCCTGCGAGGGTCTCGGTCTCAACGACAAACTTCCATGGGATAATGCCGCTCTCAAGAAGCATTGGAAGCTCGTCCTCTCACAAAAGGACTACCACGACCCCGTCCCTAACCACCCTGACTGGGAGCCGCAGGAGCACAGAGAGAACTGTAGCATTCAACACCCGTCTGAGTGCAAGGATGGTCGCTGGGTCTGGGAGTATTCTGGTCCGTCGAAGAACGCACCGCTCTGCAAGGTCATGGTCGAGGAGCCGCTGGGGCCGTACGAGCGGCACTTGTTGAGGCTGACGGGTGGCGATCCCAGTGTGTACAAGTGGGCTCACGAGAACCCCATGTAAAGGGGTGGTTTTGCTTTTTGCGATTGTTCTTGAGCGGCATTGTCAGGCGTCGAGATACCTCTTTTCATCATGATTGGCACGGGTTGGAGTTTATCATTGCATCAGTCTGGGTTTCAAGGCATGGATATCATAGAGTTAGACTAATAGAACTGGTTGGCAACACCAAAATAAGTTCATCGTCCTGTGATGTGTCATATTTGCTTGAAATACAGGTGCTATAAGATCAAGTTCAGTTGTCTAATTGATTCACAAGAGAAAGGGTTTCATTAAAGCCTTCTCATGAGAAACGTGGAGTAAGCTCGAATTTCAACTGCCGAGGTGGAACATTGCCCATGTGCATAATAGGTTGATTGGTGGCAAATTGGAAGGCATCAAATAAGGTCGGCATCTTATTCCCGTTCATTGAACAGTCAGAAATTCGACAGAAGTTCACATACTCTGCACTAGAAGGCGTTCTTAACCACGCGATCTCTCAGAAGACGCCCACGATACCACCTCTCTTCGTTTCTGGGTGTTCATTCTGAGCAGGTTTATTCCTAGGCGTGCGTCGCGTCCATCGCAAAACTTGCAAAGAATGGGAACCTAAGACCGGTCGACCGACGGGAGATTAAAGGATTACCGCTAAGCGGACAATTGGCGAGAACTTATGATTGACCTTTTTAGTACTGAACACACCATAGGGACTGCTTTATACATGTCGGAGAAGTGAAGGATAAGAAGGTGGTCTTTTATATCTGTTGAGATGCCGTGCCACGTGCTTGAAGCCGTGATGGCATGTCGAGGCCTGAAGGAGCGTATGGGGTTGAACTATATATTATTAGGCATATGTTGAGGGACTAATGCTGTTCAGGAAAAATTGCTTCCGTCGTGATTTTCTTTATCAGAAGTGTCTAGGGCGGCATCGTAACGGGTAGATGGCTCAATGGGCAGCTGTCTTTGTTCTGAGGTCGTCGGTGAAGAGGCGGAACCACTGAAGCGCGCTTCTTCGTCCGTCATCGTTGGCAGTATATTCCGGTGATTTGGGTGCACAAATTCAGAATTCTTGGCGTAGAAAGCTTAGATCGGGGTAGATCGTTGTAGCTATAGCCGTCGACGACGTCGTGCCGTGGCTCATGGCCAGTCGATGGAGACACTTTGGCATTGAAACCCGGACCTCAGAGTCTGTATATGGGGTTTCTGCCAGGAGTTTTCACTCGGATGTCTTTTTATCCACCATGTGAATCGGTCTAGCGCAAATTTTCTTACTAATTTGGTAGAAGTGCCTGCTGATGACGTTTACAAACAGACGCATTGATTCGGGATGGGGTTTGATGTATACGCCATGTTGCTCCAGGAGCAAGTATGGCTCAACAGCTTCAGAGATCCTGCATCCCCTTTCCCCCAAATTTGTTGATTTTGAAGTGCCGAGGACTCTCGTTGTTGTCGGTCTTTTCTGTCTAATTATTCAAGCTCACGTACGACTGGGCTCTGCACGACGGCTCTCGTTTGGGGGAGACAGCAGGTCTATGCTCAAATCAATGTTGGAAATTCGGTTAGCAAGTGTTAGCGCACAGAACAGGATATCCTGATTGATTGTTTTCGGAAAGATCCAGACGCAGTTGATATGATTAACACGACTTTATACGATAACTGAAAATTAAAGGCGCACTCTGTTGGGCTGTGAGCTGGCTTGGGGCTCTGCTCTCGATGTCTTATGAAGGTACAGGACAGATTCCATGAGATGACGAATGCATATAAAAGCCTGTCCAGATCGCCACAATGGATTCTTGAGCACCAATGGCATCTGTTTCTCAGACTTATACAGATTCGTCAGGCTTATACATGCCTATGACAGCTCTGTTTCGTCACAAGTTGGTTGCCAATATTAAGTGCTTCTTAAGGTTGTTCACTATCATTGACACATGTTCAGCCGTCTTCTCTCGATGGTTTCTGGTGGCTATTCAGGTACGATCTCTTGTGACATGCAACAGCCCGGTCGCCGATGCCAGAATCTTTACAGCCTGATTAGTAGTGCCGTTGTGTCGGTATCACCCTCGGCCTAAACTTGACCACTGCTACGCACAACTTTAGCCAGTGAGACGTCAAAACGTCGGGCCCTACAGAGGGTAAATTGGTCCTGATCTAGAAGAAAGGCTGTATCCCAAGTCAAATATATACCTAGGAAGCAGCATGTGTGTTGGAAACAGCCCGAATATTCGAGTATTAATACCTATGCGCCTGCGCCATGTAGCTTGAGAAAAGATAGATTGCCTCGATACGGGGCACCGCGGCAGTTTTACTGAGGACAAACTACGCACTACGAGATTTTCTAGTGTCAACCGATGTTGTGATGGGGTGGCGCTTGCGCGTCACCTCGTAACTCTCGCTGCCATCCATCTCCCACGTATGGCTCGTATTATTCTGATACTCCTGCGATACTCAGATTGGAGATTGTGTGAGTGTATCGGCTGAGGTTCAAAAGTAGTAAATAATCGGGATACCAAGATCTTCTAATAAAGACATTACGTGTCCACGCCGAGAGTGGGGGAACGCCTGCATGTCTGAGTTTGACCAGGTATCTTGTGAACTATGTAGACAGGTTTTGACTTGCTGTTCAACACGCGCTTGATCCGGCTTTACGTGAACAAAAGGGAAGGTCTAAAATTCGGTGGTTTCAGATGGAGTCTCATGCTGCTGAGGCCTTCGCCGTTGCTCATTATGCTGGGAAGTTGCTGTACGTCATTGTGTCCAGCTAATTTAGCTAATTTAATTCAACCTCAATATTTTTCCTGTCCTGTCAAGTTTTGGACGACTAGGATTTCAGAGTCTCTCGCTCGTCGGCCATTATGTGGTGACATTATCATAAAGGCACTCCTCACCAATCTCCTCAAGAGTGCCGAAGTAGACAGGCATATGTTGTGTGCTTTTCCAGCGGCCCTCTTAGGTAGGTCATCACATATATAAAGCTCCATTAAAACTCTTGTTTGATTCATAAACAATATAAAAAGACACTTCAATTGTCAAGAAGTATTGCTTTCGGGACAGCGATATAATCTCAGCTAGGATCTTGGCTTACGTACAAATACCTTATAGGCAAGGCTCATCAACTTACGCGGCGGCATGGTGTTCATTCCTCCGAAGGAAAGATCTTGTCCTAATCTCTTCGTGTTCTTGTCAATCTTCAATGTCCTTCCGGTTTGTCTGGTGTTGATACTTCATGAATATCCACGCCCAAGCTTGAAAGTAGCTTGGGTCTGTCTAATAGCTAGCTGTCACTGGAGCTGGGTTTAACATTTAGAAGCCAGTAACTCCATGAATAGTATTTCTAACTCAGACAAAAACACCAGCTACTGCTGAGGAACTATTCGGGGGCAACTATGGTTGGTTTTAAAGAAATCTGGTGGATAAGGACTCGCATGAACAAGCGAGGGCGAGTGAAGGCTATGAACTTGGCCCTTCGGTCGGTGGTCTTACCACCTCGGTTTTGGACAGCCTTCATTCTACTCTCAGGATCTCAACCTCGAGACATTCTCTGATTGAAGACCACTCACCCGTTGTAGATGTGGCCACAAACAGCGGAACAAAGACTTCACACACACAATCATTTCGTTTCCTACGGCTGATCCATTCAATGGCAGAATCCCACGTTGTCGGTCTGTCTTTGAGGGCTTGCCTATGTGCTGAAGTGACGGCCCTGAATACAGATCTCGTTGAGGCTCAATCCAAAATCCCACCAGCATCACGAACTATCTTTGATGAGAAGAAAAATCAAATAGGTCAACATTGTCAATGCTTTTTGACACTATGCCCTATTGTGGCGAGTTGAATTAGGCTTTGCTGCCATTTTCACAAAAGCAGGTCGCTACAGACCACAAGAGGCTCTCTCATCATGACCTACACCAACCCATTCAGGTGTCTCTAATGGCCACCGTCCAGTGGTTTCTGTCTAGTTCTGTTCGTGTATTACCTCATCTATATCCGACATAGATGCTATGCTCTGGTTTGAGTTCGCCGAACCAAAGGCTTTCTCCGGCATCTCAGGTACCTTTGGGTGTGGCGTTCGGTGTCGAAAAAGCCACCCGCAGCCCATACACGATGTTGGCAGCGAGCATAATTCGAGGCATCGCGTCTCTGAGAATGTTCGACGTCGTTCCCAACCCTCCTGCTATGATAATCAGATCCAGCATCCGACGTCAAGGTCTTAAAGTGATCCAAATACTGGGTAGGTATGACTCCTTTTCACCCGGACGGGCAGCTCTCCGGGTACATTTTGACACAGCCGAGCTTTCTCATAACCTACCTTTCGGCGAGAGTTCAAGCTCGGGCTGTTGATAGGCCATCAGAATACTCGTGCCCAGCAGAACTATCCAGGTCATTAGCTTAACAATCACAAAACCAAGCAAGGTTGATCGAGTGCTTGAGGGCCTCTCGGAAAACACATATAATGCGATCCTCGCTCCCAGATCCTGCCTTCTCTTCTTCTCTCTCCATCCCATCTTTACATCTGATCACATCTGCTCTATGCAGTGATTCATGTGCTCGACCCTTCATCACCACCTATTGTCCACCCTTCGGGTTTCGGGCAAGGAGGTGGTGGATGCGAGGGGCACAATCAGGTATAAAGCCCCTCCCTTCCCCTTCCCTTCCTCCATCTCTTCTTCTCTCTCCATCTCATCTCCTCATCTGATCACATCTGCCCTCGGCAGTGACTCCTGTGCTCTACCCTTCATCATCACCTCTATGTCCACCCTTCGGGTTTCAGGCAAGCAGGTGGTGGATGCGAGGGGCACAATCAGATATAAAGCCCACCCCTCCCCTGGCTTCCTTCATCCTCCGTCTCTTCTTCTCATCCTCCATCTCTCCTTCTCATCCTACGTCTCCTTCGCCCTTTCTCTCCTCTACCCTCCCATCTCACACTCACTTTTACAGAAAAACTCAAAGTCCCAGGGACATACTAACCTCGCAGCCTCAACAACTCAGACCAACACTACTCAAAGTCCATAGGACATACTAACCTCGCAGCCTCACGACTCAGCACCTCAGACCAACACTACTCAAAGTCCATAGGGCATACTAACCTCACAGCACTCACCACTTAGCACACCAGGCCAGCACTACTCAAAGTCCATAGGGCATACTAACCTCACAGCACTCACCACTTAGCACACCAGGCCAGCACTACTCAAAGTCCAAAGGACACTCCCTTCCTTCTCTCTCAACGAGGCTGGGTTCTCCCCCCCGGTCCTCTTCTTCCTGCTGAGACCTTCCTCCCTCAGCTCCGCCATGGCCCCGGTGAGCCTGATCATTACTTCTTCACTCCCTTCTTTCTCTCTCCTTACACGAGGCTGGGTTCTCCCCCCAGTCCTCTTTTCTCTGCTGAGACCTTCCTCCCTCAGTTCCGCTATGGCCCCGGTGAGCCTTATCACTACTTCTTTGGGCAACGAAGCCGGACTCCAAACCTCCCCGTGGTGTTGCCTGGGAACTTCCTCTCTAGTGGAGAGGATGCCAGACTGGAGACGCGAATCATCTTTTCTTGATCATGACATGTATGGCATCGTTTATTCTCATACTTATCTTCACCCCTTTCCACACTTATCTACAACAACCATATTGTCGGGTATATCCACCATACTGTAGGATCATTCAGTCTACGCCTTTCTACGACACTACCTTGGAAAATATTTACGGCTTCCAATCTACTTGTATATACAAGCATATCAAAGCCATGTCACCCATCACGTCACTAATATCGATATCCGACCGACGCTCATCCTGCCTCATACCACGATCGCTTTCACCTCCAAACCATAAACTCGACACTTCGTCTTTCAACCAAACATCCCTCCAGATCGCCAAAATGTTCCGACCTCCTCTAATTATCTCGCTCAACTCACATTCATCCTACCCTCCCCTTCCCCAACGCAGGGGAAGAGTCACTTGTGTAGGATGAAGAACGAATATGTAAGCTAATCTTGAGAGGATGAAAGACTATAGGTGGTAGTGATGTTTACGATTATGGTGGTTGGGATGAAGAAGAGGATGCACAACAGGGAAACCTAGCCTGCTTTATACTTCAGTTTTCAGAGGGTTGCGAACCACACTCGCGCACCACGCTGAGGCTGACGCGAGGCGGCCCGCCTCAGACCACGTCGCCACGCCGAAATGGATCAGGCTCTACAACCGGACAACCAACTTCACAAGGGGTGAAAAGACATGCATGGGCACCTACATGGGCGGTATTCAGGCTGGCTCAAGTTCAGACTTCATTCACATTCACAGCCATTAGAGAGGCAACTTTCCTGTCACAGGTCAATAATCAGGGGGATACGCAAGTGAGCCATAGAAACCTGAGGCCAGGCCTCAGACACAATTAAATACAACCCCTATTTCACTGCAATCCAAACCTCTGTAAAGTGCATGTCTCTGGCCTCCGTCTGCCACATGAAGTGAGGCGTCCTGGTTGCCTGCATCTGCATCCAGGGCGCTGCGCCTCCACGGCAGCCTGCCTCTACTCGACAGAGCCTGCCTCCAGCAGCCTCACTTTCGCCGGGCGGCGGGCGGAGCACGGCGGGAAGCGGCAGGCTTATGCACGGGATGAAAAGTCCCTTGCGCCGGTAGTTGGGGGAGGGCGCTTTTCAGCCTCAATCGGCAGGGCTTTTCGTGGTGAAGGCGTGACTTCGATATTCCACTTCGAGGGGGCGGGCGCAGCTGAGGTGCACGGCCTGGCCCGACGATGAAGCCGGACCCGCGGGATCGATGATCCGGGGACACCCTTAGGATCTCACCTCAGTGCCAATCATACCCAAACACTGTGTCCAACACATCCTAGCCTGCATGCATCACGACCAGGGCCTGTCCTCCAGCATCACCATGGACTCCCTCACAACCGCCGCCTCGGCCCTTTCCCCGGCCCAATGGTGCCAGGTCTTCTTCGGCCTCTCCTCAGCCGCCGTGCTGGCCATCCAAGTGATACCCAAGGCAGCTCAGCACGCGATACTCGACTACGGCGCACGCTCGCCGGCCACCACGGATGACCAGACGAAGGGAGGCGGGCCGCAGGTCACGAACATGTTCAACGACCTCGTCAAAGCTTTCGCCTCCATCGGCCAGATCCCACACGCATGGTTCATGCACTTTTACGTCGCCTCGATCGCGGGCTCAGCCTTCTGGGCGTTCGAGTATCTCCGAAACGGCCCCTTTCTCAGATTGATTGCGGCCAGGCAGGCGCAGTCGGCAAGTCCCGCCATGAGCCTCGAGCAGACCATCCTGATCTGGGCACTGATGGCGCTGCAAGGCTCACGTAGACTCTATGAGTGCTTCTTTGTGATGAAGCCCGGATCTTCCAAAATGTGGTTTGTCCATTGGTTGCTAGGCCTAGGATTCTATCTCTGCATGAGTGTGTCGGTCTGGGTTGATGGATCAGGCGAGTCTCTTCGCCCGCATCATCACCGGCTTCACTAACTTCCTCAGCCGCTCTCCGTGCTTCCCCAGAATGTAATCTGGGGGCCCTTTTATCGCTCCACTCCTTCATTGGAGTCGCCATGTACCTGTACGGCTGGACAATGCAGAATTGGTGCCATAAACACCTGGCCAGACTGAAGAAGTATTCGCTTCCCGAGCAAGGTCTCTTTCGATATCTCGTCTGTCCTCATTACACCTGCGAGTGCCTCCTTTATCTTGGTCTTGCCATTGCAGCCGCACCGCAGGGCCAAATGATCAATCGTACGCTTCTCAGCGCTTTCTGGTTCATCGTAGCAAACCTCGGCACAACCGCCGACGGAACCAAGGAGTGGTATGCGCAGAAGTTTGGTGCCGAAAAGGTGGCTAGCAAATGGAAAATGATTCCATTCCTCTTCTAGACTTCTCCTAGACTCACTCGAGCCAATATCACTTCTTTCCAAACAGGCCGAACTTGGCCCCGAGCTTCGACACTTGCATGACATCTCGGTATGTGAGGCTTGTTCTGGTTGCGCGCACATTTCGGCCGGTGGCATAATGATCCTTGGATCGCAACAAGTCCCAGTTCACGATGGTATCGGCGGATAACTCGACGTCTTCGTCAGTGTCGGCAATGCCGTGGAGATAATCGGTGTAAAGGTTATCGGTGGTGATGAGTAGGCTCCTGGGCTCTTGAAGAATGCGCCACACAGGCTCCGGATCCAACGCACCGTCCTCTTTGCTTTGGTAGAGATTCAGACACAAGCTTGCTCCCAAGCTGATAGTGCATACTACTGGATGATAGGCGGGTCCATCCTGCAGACACTATGAGATTTGAGCCTTCACGCGTAAACCTACCATGTACTTAACTTATGAGGCATGATTCCGACTCCTGGAGGATACTCGTTTATCAGCACGTGGTTCGGCCGTTGGTGAGGGCTTTCGGTGAAGAGGTTGGACGAATCAGGAGCAGTGGCGCGAGGCAAGGAAAGAATTCGCGAGACGACGGGCTCTTGCAGCCATGGTGGCAAAGGAGCATCGATCAGTTTGTTCTGAACGAGATCAGACGGCCATGTTTGGAGGCGTCGATGAGTCAGTTGTTTCCAGCGGGGTTTCGGGGCATCAGCTATCTGTTGGTCAAGGCAGCGGTGGTCAGCTGCTATGAGGTTGGCGCAAAAGTCCATGTCAGAGCTTCCGTACCTTTTGCAAGATGGCCTGCTCTTCCTCCTCGGATATGAAGTCCGCAATGTAAAACGCAGAAGGTGGAAGCTTCGTGATCCTTACGTCTTCAAGGGTAGTGGGTAGGTTTACAGCTCCAAGCTCCATTTTCCGGGCTTTACGTGGGGGCTGTGTGTTGTAAGGTGTGTTTGATAGTTGGCACGCGGTCGGTGTGATCTGGGGCGTCCACCAACCTTATGTAGGGCGAATTCGAGTAAGGTGGGTGGTGAAGTCGGGAAGGTCAGGCACAACTAAGCTTGTCGATACGAGGGGCAAGGTCGACGATGTAAGCTTGAAGCTCTAGAGGGTGGGTAGGCCGGCGACTGAAGCCAAGCGTCAAACGGTTCTGCATTGAGCTGGGAGGATCCAAGCAATCAGATGACGGGATGGGAAAGGTTTGGTGGAGAAGCAAGGACGGCAGCTGGGAGCTGGAAGCGGAGGGGAGGAAGACGTGTTTGTGAAGACCTCAGGTCGAAAAGGTTCGAGCGCGGGAGCTGCGCCAGTCACTTGAACAAGTCGACAAATGGTAGTGTGGCGCTGGAACAAAGGGGTTGGAGAACGGACGCTGGTGATTGCTGCTGGAAGAATGGCGCTAGGCCGAAACGGGAGACGGCTGGAGGATTAGTCACAGGCAGGTGGGATTGCGATGGCGCGGTGGCCGTTCCCAGTTCCCAGAGCTCCGTTTTCGATGTGGTTCGTGATTCGCTGATTCAATTCAAGATGCGACGACGGCGAGGATGAGAACGACAGGGTGGGTACGATGGCGGAGGGGGGAAGAGGAGCCTGCTGCGACGCTGGAGGATGTTGGGAACGCGGGATTGGCCAAGGTGGATCCGAATAAACTGCAGCCCTCGGTACGTATCTTCCATGTCGCAGCACCGCGTATCAGCACCTACGGGTACGTACCGCGAGTGCTGCTGGTTTTCATTCAAGAAAGCGAATTTGCAGGCAAGCCGGGCAAAGTCTCGTTTGAATGGTCGGTCAGGCCCTGTTTTGAATTGAAGGGAAATTTGGCAGGCTGGCAGCCAGGGTCGGTCAGGAGAGCCGCTGCGTGTTGCTGCTGCCTCTGCTGGTCGTGGTCTAATGCAGCGTGGCAGCGTATTCGAGGTAAGGCACTTTTCAACTTGCATAACAGCATGCGCGGTGTGCAGCTGCAAAATGCAGACGGACGGGAGAGGTAGAGGGAGACGAGGCAGCAGGCTGGCAAGTGGCAGAACTTTCCTAGCAGTCGGGTGAGATTGAGCACACACGACACGGCAGTCCCGTCCGCTATCTTGCCGTATCTCTCTGAAGCAAGGTGGCTGCCGGGACTGCTGCCAGGTTGTATCCTGTTTAGCTTGGCTAGTGCGGGCTGGGGGATACTTGATGATGCAGCAAAGCGATGCAGCATCTACAAGTACCTCGAATCGAGTACGTAGTTTCGTCCTCTTGTGCCCACCCAAGTCGGCCGTCAGGCTGCCACAAATTGTGCAGGCACACACACTCACACACTCACACTGCCACTGCCACAGAACCGACACGACTGACTGCCATTGCGCTACGCTACCGCTTTTCTGCCTGCCTTGGTACTGCTTGCTGGCCGCCTTGCTGGCTGGTGCTCCTTCGCTGTCTGTTGTTGTTAGCACTACTGCTGTTGCTGCTGCTCCTCCTCCTATCCTATCCCAAGCGTCCCCCGTCGGGTCCAATCAAAGAGGTGGCGATCAGACTTTTTGACTCTGAAGACTCTCGCGGCCCCATTTCCACCTTCAGCCAAACCGATCGAAGCGTCAAGCGTTACCAAGCCAGCCTTTTCCAGCATTTCCACCCACGCCCGCGTCCATCGAACCACACGCATCATTACTCCGGCCAGGCGCTTCCTTTGTTTTTTATTTCCTTTATCGTCTTCGTGATCCGGTTTTACGACACTTCCGACCCCGACACCGCACCGCTGCCCCGTCAGTCGCCAACACACCGCGCCCCCGTGACTGACCTGGCCACTTTCTCTTAGGGGCGTTTCTCTTTGGCGACCGAGAAGCTGCTCCGCTCCGTCCACCCGACCGCGATTTCAATCAGTCAACACAACACCAATTCGCCCACGCCCTCACTTTTCTCTCACTCGTGGCCGACCTTTGGCCAGGATGGTGCTGGCCAGTTTTTCGACCTTCAGATAAATGATATGGATGCGCAGAATGCTGCCGGGTCCGACAAGCCGAAGCCCGTCGCTGCTGCGGAGAAGCGACTGGGCAATCACCAGCCTGACGAGTCCAAGGAGTCCACCAACAACAAACCAAAGAGCGCCGACGAGTCCATCAAATCTCCGCCCGTCCTTCCAAAGGACGTCAAGCCCAGCGTAATCGTATCTCGCGCGCCTCCTGCTGCCGACGACGCTCCCGCCGAGAAAGACTCGGATGCCGAAACCATCGTCTTACCCGGTAAGGATGGCTACTCGCCCTCCAAGGCGAGAAAGGTAAAGCACGAGGATCGCAGCGACGGAGAGCCCCAGGTCCCCCGCAAGATTCGTGATGCCAGTGCCGCCAGGGACGCCGACAAAGACAAACCCGTCAACCCTCCCCGTTTGCTGTCTGAAGGAGCATCTTCGTTGGGCTTGAAAAAGAAACGCCTCCATGACCAATCCGCCCGAAGTAAAGATGGCTCCAGCGGCCTCAGCTCGGCTCCTGCTTCTCCCCCAAGACGTCGATCTGGTAACCATTCCGACTCCGACACGGGTGCTGACCGTAGGAAATCTCCCAAGCTGTCCATGAAAGACCGAGCCAAATCCACCGATCGGACACTTACTCACAAACGCAAAGCTCCCAAGGCAGACTCGGAGGACGAGGCCGAGAATCGCAAGGCTCGACGACAACGTATTTCTGACGCCGGGGCTGATTCTCGACCGATCCGAGCCCCCAGGGAACACAAGATGTCTTCTTCCAAGAGAGAAACCGATGGCTACTCAGGATCTCGTACCAGATCCGTATCTCCCCACAACCCACGTGCCCACCGACGGAGTATTTCGACGCAGCTTCCTGCAAACTCGTCAAATGGCCTGAGCTACAAGAAGAAGCGTTTGCCTCCCCCGCTCCAGTCCACCGACTATCACTCGGATGAGTCTTCAGCGAGCGGCAGCCCTCACCCCCGGAGCTCCAAGCTACGGAATCTCTCGACGCCCGCCACTGCCGAGTCAAACATGTCACCTGCCAAAATTGCGCCACACAAGAAACATCTTGACGCTCACGGCCAAACGTTCCTCGCTAGAGCTTGTGCCAGGGGCGAGTACGACATTGCAAAGCAACGACTCGGTGAGCGACCCGAGGACCTCAATGTTGCCGATTATGCGGGAAACACGCCACTTCAAATCGCCGCAATTAATGGGTACGAGGATATTGTGAAGCTTCTCATCGACGCTGGATGCAACCTGGATTGTGTAAATTATGACAAGGACACACCATTGCTCGACGCTGTTGATAATGGCCACCTCGGAGTCGTGAAGCTCTTACTGAACGCGGGTGTCAACCCGCGGAAAGCCAACGTGAGCGGCGAGGAACCTCTCGACAGAGTCAGCGACGACCTGGACAATGCAGCCGATTTTCGTGCCGCACTCATCGAGGCGAAGTCTAGACAAGGCGAACGACGACGCACATCTGAGGACCATCATTCTGTCGACCACCAGGATACTCGGTCATCACTCGGCCCCGATAGCCCGCGACGGTCACCTGCCCCTTCTTCATCTCACGCCAACGGTCGGCGGGCCGGTACTGTGAGGGCCACCAAAACCAGCAACTACTTATTGTACATGTCCCTCGATGATAAGACACTTCGGCAGGCAGCCGCTAAGGGCGACGAGGAGACTGTTACAAGAATCCTCCAGGTAAAGGATGGTTGCGACGATTCCGAAGCGATGGTAGCGGCTGCCAGGGGTGGGCACGAAGTAGTTATTCAGCTACTTTTGGCATTGGGTGGCGCAAACCCAGACCCTGCACCGGTGCAAAGTACCAATATGCCGTCAGAGTTCGCGACACCTATGCTAGCCGCGATAGGCCAGGAGAATATCAAAGTGGTTAGGTTGCTCTTGGACCAGGCAAACTTTGATCCCACACGTCGATTCAAGGGAGAAACCTACTACGAGATCGCGCGACGCCGACAAGGCACAAATTGGAAAGACGAGGAGCACATGCTCAAGGAAGCTTACGATGCGTACAGGAAGTCGCATCGTGATATTTCCAAGACCAAGTCTCCGAACAGACGGGAGCGTGAGAGAGAACGGGAGCGGGAGCGTGAGCGTGACCGAGACCAAGACCGGGAAACCAAGCGCCAGGGCCGCAATGAACTCAAAGACGAAGCCCGAGCGCACAAGCGCAACCTTTCTAGCCCTTCACGCGACCCGGAGAGTCGGAAGAAAATCTCAGCGAATCGTAACGTCACCAGTCCAAAGGAAAAGCGTCGGTCTGATTCATTTCACGACGACCAGACATCACCCAAGCGCGGTCCTGGCCGGCCTAGAAAAGAAGACCGTGTTCCGACCATTGCAGTTTCTGACAGAGAAGCATCACCTGCGCTGTCACAAAAGCAATCCGCCAAAGCAGCGAAGCGCGCCGAGTCTGACGTTGCTGCCATGTCGTCGGAAGGGGAGGCTGTCAAGCCGCGGAGGAAACTCATTTCTAAGGGCGAGCTTCGCGGCGAAAGGGAAAAAAACCGCCGCGCTAGCATGGTTTCGACCACCTCTTCTCTGAAGGACCCCTCAAGCCCACGCGATCCGAAACACGACGACCATCCCGAGAAGCCGAAGGGCGAACCCTTGTCAGAGAAGTACCACGATCGTACAAAGGCTCTCAAGAGGGACGAGTCTAGGGATCGACTCTCTGTTTCCGGCGATCATTCTGCTAAGCGGCACCGATCAAGCGTCACGCCGCCGCACTCGAGCACTGGGGAGAAGGAGGACGGTGAGGTGCCGACGAAGAGGCGGCGGCTCGATGTGGATGGCAAGGAACGCCGGCCGAAGTCGACAGCATCGCCAGACGACCCGCACAGGCTATCGCGTGAAGCACCTCCTCGATCGAAATCGAATCTCAGGGACCACGATGACAGCGACCGCAGGCCCCATAAGAGCAAGTCAGATTCTGACGGGCACAGGAGGGAATCCGGAAAGTCCAGCAACAGTGATAAGTCGAGCATACACGTTAAGTCTGAAGACGTCGATATCGAAATGCTAGACGCATCAGATGTTAAGGATGTCGAGGAGCCGGAAATTCGTGTGAAGAAGGAACGTGGCGATGACGACAAGAGACGCCAAGAGGAGAAGGAAAGACGCCGTGAGGAAAAGCGACAAGAGGAGCGGAAGCGCCGTGAGGCTGAAGCCGAGGAAGCACGCAAGAAGGAGGAAGAGCGGCGACAGCGTGAAGCTGAGGAGAAGAAGCGGGAGGCCGAGCAGAAGAGACGCGAGGCTGAACAAAAGGAGCGAGAGGCCGAGGAAAAACGACTGAAGGAGGAGGAGGAGGCTAAGCAGCGCGAGGAGGAGCGCAAACGCAAGGCCGAACTCGAGAGAAAGCGTCAGGAGGAAGAAGAGAGACAACGCCGGGAGGCAGAGGAGAAGAAGAGGCGCGAAGAGGAGGAAAGACGCCTACGCGAGGAAGAGGAGAAGAAACGCCGCGAAGAGGAAGAACGCAAACGAAAGGAAGAAGAGGCCCGGAAGCAGCGTGAGGAGGAGGAGAGGCTTCGCAAAGAACAACTTGAGCGTGAAGCTGCAGAGGAAGCCCGCCGTCTCCGCGAGGAGGAAGAGCGCAAGGAACGCGAGCTCAAGGAACGTCAACAGCGTGAGGAGATGGAGCGCAAGCGTGCGGCTAAGGAAGCCGAGCAGCGCAGAATCCAGCAAGAACAAGAACGTCTGCGACTTGCGAAGCTTCCTCCTCTCCTCCGTTGGCTTGACGGTTGTTCGAACCCCAAGACTCCTGAGCTGGCGGCCAAATTCAAGCACATGCAGGGTGTGCGGTTCGACACCATCCGCCCACAGGCCACAGGCTCGCCCGATGGCAGAGAGCAATGGATACTCAACACTCATGCCGCTTTGCTTCTCGGCGAGAAGGACCTGACTTTGTCGAGATGTACGTATCCCACTCACGTCTTGATGTACTTCACTCACTAACAAACTCTAGATACCGCTTGGGAACATATTCCTGTCTCCGATCTTGCCAAGAAAGTTATCTGGAGACTCGAAGCTGACCGATACGCATTGATTACCGACAGTCTCTACGAGCTCGGCACTGGTCTACCAGACTACTACGGCGAAGGCCAGGAACCTTTCAAGATGAATTATCGTCTCAAGGAAAAGCTTCGCGGAGAGGCCCGAGAGAAGTTTTTGAAGTTGGACATGTTCTTTGTCAAGGTAAGGGACTCGTTCAGGCAGTTACTTTGCACGATGCTAACGCCATCCTAGCTATCTGACTTGATGTTCATTGTACCAAACGTTCCTCACCTCCGGAGTCTGAAACTAAGCGTCGAGTACCGCGAACTTCCCGAAGATGAGGCCCAGTTGTACGGATGGAAAGTACCGCAAAAGTGGAAGCAAGACCCTGATGCAGACCGGTTCTACGGTTTTGCGCCGAGGAACAAGTACTACGTCGACGGTATCATGGTCGAGGAGCAGAAGCCTGGACTGTCTGCGACAAGCAGCACACCTTTCCCCGAGAAGCGGGCCCCTCGCAAGGGACTGCAGCAGATCTTTCCTGGCGACCCAGATTATGCTCGCCTTTGCAAAGAGCAAGGGCTGGAGCACCTCTTGAACGGCACCAAAACCCCGGCGCTACCCAACGGCGGACATCTTTCGCCGAGGAGTCAGTCGAATGCTACCGAGACATCGGCTGAACCCGTCAATGGCACCCAAACCGCTTCTTCTGCGCCCGCGCCTCTGTTTACCGAGGCGAGACCTCTCCCCAACGGTGTCAACGGCGTTTCGACGTCAGGATCCAGCTAAGCTGGGTTCATCTTCGCGAAATAGAGTAACGGGTCACACTTACTTAATATACGAATGCAACCTGTCCTGTCGCAAAAACCACCCCCGGTGACGATATGGACCAGCATAGCTGCCGAGAGGAACCCTAGACGGAGCTTCCAATCACAATTCAGGGCGACACCTAAGCCGGCTGCCTCCAGTTGGGTTTTCTACATGTTATGAACAGAGATAAACAGTGCTCGGCTATATTTCACCTAGCCGAATGGACGGCAAGAGGATTCTTTGCGGATCAGTCTGCAACAGTACAGACTGCGATGCCACTAGCTTCAGTTGCTTTTGGATGACGGCTACAATTCAACGCGACCAACCCCTTTTACCAGTATCATATAACGGAAAAAAAGGAAACCAGACCTGCAGTGGGCGGTCTGTGCGATTCATGGGTCGGAGGGTATGGAATGATGGGTCGGGTTTCCAGGCGAGACGTAGATAATGAAACAAACTGTTCAAAAAACAAATGGAATATCTCATGTGATCTTTCATCTGCTGTCGCAAACCCGAAGCAGATTGAAACTCATGATAAAATTCCGCGAAAAAGGAAAATACGCAGGGAATAAAGATTTTCCTATGACTCGAGTCGTGAGTGTGAGGCCCAGACACTGACATCACCGACGTGAGAGAAATTGGCCCAAAGAAAGCCCAAGAAAAAAACCGGCCGGCAAAACCCGCGCCCCGCCAAAACTTTGACACCGCCCTCGAAAACCCCCGCCATTTGCCCACAACGATCGCACTGCCATCACCAAAGGACCTGAACAGGGCTGCAGCAGCCAACCGAACGAAAACGCCCCTCGTCATTGCGAACGAACGGCGACGACGACAAACACGACGACGGCGAGACGTACATTTAGGACCCGATAGACAAAGCAGCCAACGGCGGCTGATACGACCTGATTTTGGAAACACACCACGTAGAGCGAGTCTGGGAATACCGTCATCATGTCGACGACGGTGGACAAGGTATGCGCTAACACCATAGCTAATCCCCGTCTATGAACACGTCGAGAGAGGTAGTGAGTCAATTGCTAACGCGACTTTTGTATGCAGATCAAAGAGATCGAGGCCGAAGTACGTTCCAACTTCCCCCATTCCCCCTACACCCCACGATCGATACGTTGCCCTCATGGCCTACACATGCGTCGAATCCGAGGAAACGAGTTCATCCCCGAGGCGCATCGCGATCACAATCACATCTGAACCTCCACCGCAGCCAAAGCTCATCCACCCAAATCAAAACCATGATGCCGTCCTCATGGACGGATGACCAGCAGCAGGGACTGACAGTGCAACACAACAGATGGCCAAGACTCAAAAGAACAAAGCCACATCCTTTCACTTGGGCCAGCTCAAGGCGAAGCTCGCCAAGCTCAAGCGCGAATTGCTGACCCCGTCGAGCGGTGGTGGTGGCGGTGGTGCCGGCTTCGACGTCGCGCGTACGGGTGTAGCCAGTATCGGCTTCATCGGCTTCCCCTCGGTCGGAAAGAGTACGCTCATGAGCAGGCTGACGGGCCAGCACTCCGAGGCTGCCGCGTACGAGTTCACGACCCTTACCTCCGTGCCGGGTCAGGTTACCTACAACGGTACGTCGTCTCTGCTGGCGGATTCATTGCGCCGAGGGCAGGCTCCAACGACTCCCCTCCAAATCAAGATACTAACGCATCACAGGTGCTCCTCTTCAAATCATCGATTTGCCCGGTATTATCGAGGGAGCAAAGGACGGTCGTGGACGTGGTCGTCAGGTCATTGCCGTGGCCAAGACGTGCCATCTCATCTTCATCGTGCTGGACGTCAACAAGCCCCTGACAGACAAGCGCGTCATTGAGACGGAACTCGAGGGCTTCGGTATCCGCATCAACAAGTCGCCTCCGAACATCACCTTCAAGAAGAAGGAAAAGGGCGGTCTCAACATCACCAGTACGGTGCCCTTAACGCACATCGACCACGACGAGATCAAGGCCGTCATGAACGAATACCGTATCAACTCTGCCGATATCGCCATCCGATGCGACGCCACCATTGACGACCTCATCGACATTCTCGAGGCCAAGAGCCGTAGTTACATCCCCGTCATCTACGTCCTCAACAAAATCGACGCCATCAGTATCGAGGAACTCGACCTGCTGTACCGTATTCCAAATGCCGTACCAATCAGTTCCGAGCACGGTTGGAATATTGACGAGTTGATGGAGGCTATGTAAGGATTCCCTGTATGATCCTCGCCCGGATAGTGCCCCGGCGGCACAATCAGCGGCGGCAGGGATCTCCCCAAACTTCAAAGGCTGGCGCGGCGCAATGGCTAACAAACCCCGTTTCGCGTGTAGGTGGGAGAAGCTGAACCTGGTTCGCGTATACACGAAGCCCAAGGGCCGTTTACCCGACTATTCCCAGCCCGTCGTCCTTCGGTCGAACCGGTGCACAGTGGAAGACTTTGTGAGTAGTGACCCGTCAGGGGGAAACCCCACGAGCAGCATTCCCGTCCGGGAGAAGGTCGATAGCGTTCTCTGGTACTGACGAAATTTCCAGTGTAACCAAATCCACAGAAGCATTCTGGAGCAGTTCAAGACGGCCGTTGTGTATGGCAAGTCTGTCAAGCATCAGCCTCAACGCGTCGGTCTGGCCCACGAGCTAGCTGACGAAGATATCGGTACGGCTGTGCCCCTTTACCCTGCGTTGGAGAACAAGCCGCATCCTTGTTCGGCGAGACGCTGGAGGAAGCAAACAATGCTAACAATCGATGACCTGCAGTTACAATCGTCAAGCGCTGATCAAGGCGGCAACGAGAACAATCGCGCACGACAACCATTGTCGTCAAGCCCATTCCCGGCCGGAGGTGCCGACGGCGTTGGTGGGAAAGCCACTTGCCTCTTTCCTCTCCAGAGAAGAAAACACCAACTGGACCCTGAGGTCCTTTTTTGCTCGCGCGATCTCACTCGACTCCCGACACCATGGGATCGTGGACAAAACTCAAAATTTCCAACAAATTAGTGGCATGTACTAACAACACGCGGGCGTACCGGAAAAGCCGGGACACGGGCTACCAATTGCAACTTTGAAGCTTCAGTCAAATCAGGGCAGGGCTGAACGGCCTGCGGCGTGTGGGCGCGACCGCAAACAGTCAGTCTTTGACAGCGGCGCCAAGGGCATCTCACCTTGCGGCCGAGATGAGAGGCACGTTTGGGTCAGGCAAAAAATGTCGTTCTAGCATCATAGAATACCAAGAGAATTGAATGAAAAAGGGGGCCGGAGACCTGGCTTGCGGAATGAGTGTCTCAGTTGAAACGGCGTCTGGCGGATAACGTCTCCATATTTTCCAAGTCTCCTGAGAGGAATCTTGAACTGCCATGCGTGTGTCGCAGTCACACATGGCGTCGGTCGTCGGGCAACGTGCCGTCTCTCAAGCAGGCTTTTTCTTAGGCCGTCGCGGACAGCCCTGCATCCACCGCCGTCACAGTTCGTCGTTGTCGTGGCTCTCGCATGCGACGCCGTCTCACCCATCGCGATTATGACGCAGTCGGTGGTGCTTCAAGATGATGGACAACGGTTTCTACCCCACATGCGCCACCATCTGAAGTTGCGGTCCAAGAGGTTGAAGCAAATCGTGGACGACATGCATAGCCGAGGGCCTCTCGTTCTGCGGCCGAAAGTTTCCCAGCAGAAGCGTGGGATGCATGCTCTGGTGTCTGCAAAAGGGCAGCACATGGCCGCCGCCGCCATGCTTCTCTGCAAAGGCTCCGCGGGAGAGGGTGGGAAGAAAAGTTGCACGCAGAGTGCAGTCCGCAGCAGTATGCAGCTTCCGTAGCGCACATCCGTCCTCTGATGCATGGGTTGACAGGCCGGGTATGGATAAGCATGGGCGGGTGTGTGGGTGAGCGGACTGGGGGCTTCCCTGGATCGAGGGAACGAACGTCGGCGCTTAAACCAGAGCTAGAGCTAAGACGACACCCTTTTCTCCTCTGTCCGCACGCTCGACACTCCCGCCATTGCTGGCTGACTGTGTCTTGGAGTACGGACGCTCTGCATCACTGGCGCGATGCATTTCACTGCAATTCCCCGATGAGCGAGAAAAAACGTGCCCGACGAAACGGCGGCGGCGGCTCAGGACTCGTGCTGGTCGAAACAAAAAGAGGGGTGCCGCTCTCGCAGCTAGTCAGGCGCAAATCCTTTCCACCCCTCTTACGCCCACCTTTCACAAGGCTCGCTTTGCCGCCCATGTTCAGTCCTCGCGGAGTCCCGATTTTTGTTTGCGCTGAGCAGTGGTGCTAGCGGTGGGTCGGCCGCGGTCCTCTCAAGCCGTGATCTCATCTCATCTCATCTTGTGCGTGAAAGAAGAGCGACGAGGATTCCTAGGAGCTAGGTCCGCGATATGCGACGAAAGCGAAGGAGGGCCGTTGCGGAGCATGGTAGCAATAGGACCGCGTACGATCTTGGCCTCTCATCTAGAGATTGTCTGAATAGATGAGCGCATTCGTACCTTGCATCGAATCGAACGTAAATGAGGCGAACGAAGGGCGAGAGGACACAGACCACGGGAGAACGGCTGCAGGGAAGGGAAGACAGGCGCAGGGGCAACACAGACGGCCGCGGCGGATGCTGCGCTGCAATGTTGCTCTTTTGTGGTTTCCGATTCCTTCCTGCAATGTTGCTCGTGCTCTCCAGGTCCCCTGCTTCCTCCAAGGCGTAATCTGCTCCGTCTACTTCCAGCGGGATTGGGGGAGCTCGGGAGGGACCCAGCTGCACTCCACCGGATGCCCTGGCCAGCAGCTCTTTTACTGCTTGTGGCGGCTCTCGGGTGTATGGTTGCTCGAGGGCAAAGTTGAGACTAAACGTGCCGTGTGTGCATGCATACTAAGCATATTCCAAGGGGCTAGATGCAGTCTCTTGGGAACAGGATGGTGTACAGAGTTGCCTGCCCGAGCTCCAGTAGCTTGAACGCTCCCCTCGAGCAATCGGTCGGCGTTTTGGTTGCC